GAGGGGTAAAAAATAGGATTTAGCCGTTTCAGTAAAGTTTTCACAAATATTTTGTGCTGAATAGGCATACAATATTCAAATTAGGGTGGTCATTATGGAAAATAATGTTTGTGTCAGTATCCTATTTACTACACATAGAAACAAAATAATTGTGGTTCCTATCCCCGTGTTTCTAGAGGAATAAGCTATTTCTGTAAAGATCACATCAATGTTTTACTGAAAATATGTACAAATCTTTAGTGTACATCAGAGTCATAATATAACATCTTCTGTGATTATGAATATTTATTGACTAAGTCCTAAGTCGCTTTCACCCTTCTCCCATCGGGTGTGCTCATTCCGGCAGCTTTCTTCCCCGTGACATCCACAAAACATTGTACATGGCAAGTGAGCTGCATAGCACAGCCACACCTTATTATTTCCAGCACTTCCGGTGGAGCAACACTAACATTTGTTTGTCACTGTGATTAAGCATCTAACGCGTTTGTCACGTTCACATGCAAACTCGACTAGATCTAATACTGGAGGTTCTGAGTTGAGAGCTGATTTCCAAATGGCGGTCTGAATGTGTACCCAATTTACGTTCTCTTTGAATGCCCCCCTGGGAGTGACTTACGACGTGGAGCCTTTGTCACATTTTTTCTACCCATCCTTCGTATCCAGACTTCCCCACGGCCCTCTGACATGTTCAATGTCACCATGCTTTTGACTTTGTAGCAGGTAGCCATGAATACTGTGGCTTCTTCAATGATGTGGCCTATATTTTTCAGATAACTCTCCCAATTTGCACTGAGCCACGGTGTCACAGCCTGACTGGGAAATGAGCAGCTGGTAGTTGCGAAAGCACGTGTCCATGCACACTTGCAGTTACCACAATGTATACAATGGCTCGTTCATAACTTGGTATTTTCATAGTGAAACGGCAAGTCAGCAACTCTGTAGTAGTAGTAGTAGTGAAGCATAAGGAAAACACATATGTGCTCTCACATACAGTATTTATTATTTGCACTCCACTTTCAGCAGCCTTAACATTTTGATGTATGATTATAACATCCGCTTCTTTGTGTCAAGTCCAGAGATCTTCTCTACAGAAGCCAATGCCATCTGAATTACAAGTGGTATAAGGTCAGTAGAGGTAATGACCAGACTGGGATTACTCAGGTCTTCCTGTGCTTTCTGGATTAAGTCCTGACATATAAGATCTATGACCTGTATCTTATTCATGGTTACTGTAAGGACAAACTTCTGAGGTGGCAATGGAGTATGTAACTGCAGTTTGTGTCGTCGGCTCGCTTCATCACCAGCTGGAGCTGCGCACATTTCACTTTTATTACTGAAGTTGAAGTAACAATCAAAAATCAGGTATGTGTCCTTGTTGGCCAACCTTTTCATCACATTCCTCATGAAGCCGCTGACAACATTTGACACAGTGTTTTTTTTATTACGCCAGCTTATAACACGAAGGAGAGCACAGCTATCCAGTATTTCTACTTCTGATTTCTCAACCAAGCGCTGTGATACAGTCACCTGTCGCTTATTCTTCAGTGTGGATTTTGTAGTTGCGATTCTTATATTTGACGGGTTACGAGGACAGTTTTGATATTAATGTCCCGAGACTGTTGCAATCCGAGCATCCGCGAGTAGATTAGATTTGTGTCATACACTTCCCAAACTTTACTGCCTTCATCTTCAATGCCCTGGTCACTACAACTTGGACAATGACTTATTAAATCCGCAAGGCCAGCTTTTTTCAAATGACACAAGGTGACCACTCCCAATATCTACTGCGTCATGTGCGTTAGCCATTTCTGGTCCAATCTGTCCAGTAATGACATTGATCAAACAAGCAAGCAGGATGAGCAGTTGGATCCAGAGGATCGATGCAAGTCAGAAGTTTGTCTCGTAGCTTGTCTCTGTCAATATCTACAACAGTGTTTGATCTATAACAGTAACGTACTGCATATTAATAAGTTTTCATTACTGTATACATGCTTATGATATGTTGGTCTTGTAACTTGTCCAATGCTATCACAATGAATACACATTTATGCAGATCATATGCCCATGTGTATGATACATTATTCATATCGATTATCCAATCCACAATGTAGTACAGTACTACCTCTTTTCTTCGATGATATGCCTTCAAATTATTTAATTATTATTATACCTATATCAAAATCTATATACTAAATCTCAGGTAATTAATAGGCACAGCTTGCAACTAAAAAAATAATCAGGTCGGTACATTCTTCCAGAGCATTTATGTGCCATGTTCCATTGAAATTTGTTTCTGATAAAAAAAAATGAAAAGCAATTAAGTAATAAGCCATGATCACGCGTGACCGCAATTCACGCACCTTAGCAACATGTTG